GTCATTTTTTACACGCTGTCAATGATCTCTCTGCGCAGAAGTCGCTTTTTTTGTAATTAACCCGAGGTTAAACAAAAAATCTCATTTAAATTTTTTATTTAGCATCGAAAAATAATGCGTTATTAATGATAGAGGCTTAATAACATTGATGCAGAATAAATGTTTACGTAATTGAATAAATTATGTATTTGTACACTTTCTGAATGTGTGTGGCAAAACCTCTAGAATCGAGGAATTCGGATTACCAAAGGTATAGTCAGATTTTTTTGCGACGTTACTCGGACTAATGCGTCCGACGTAGCCGTATCTCTGTGTCTGTGCTCTTAACCGCTGCTAATGGCGAGCCCTTCGAGTGCCGAAGAAAGTAATCAAAGCCCTCGACGCACGAAGGGAAGAAGCTTAACAGGCGCGCAATGATTTCCAGCGTAGTTGCGGAGGCGGTGGTACGGAACGGCCGAAACACAAATGGACACCGCTTTTTCGCTCTTTATATTCAGGCTGGAAGTGATTTCACGCTTCAGGGGACCTCTCTTCGGCCTCGAGACAGGATCTAGGCGAGGCATCCTGCCAGCGAATCTCCTTCCTCATAAACCTCATAAACCTTGCTACTGTTTATTTTTATTCTTTTTTACTGAAAGTGCCTTGAATTTCTAAAATTGCTTACATAATAAATACTATCACTGATCATCGCAATCATCTTTTATCTCTTTTAAATATATTTTGGATTCGATTTGTGATATTTTTACAAAGATTTTAATATAAAGTTTTTTCGGAATAGTAAGCAAAATGTTAGCAATGTTGGCAGATTGACAGGAAATTTGTGTCCGTCAGTTTTGATCAAATTTCCGTCAATTTTGATCAAATTTCCTGTCAATCTGCCAATATTGCTAACGTTTGGCTATCTGAATACTTATCACTCATAAAAAATTTACATAAATGTGAATTCGAAATCGCAAATCAGAGATGTGTTGCATAGGATGCCTTGCTAAATGTAAGATTAAAAATACAGTGTATCGAGTTTGAAAAGAGAAGAAGGTTCAACGAAATATAAAATGGGATATGGGTAGTTCAGTCATCGGTTATTACAGCAGATGGACAATAATTCACGTCGACTCGCTTGCTGAAAACGAGTCCCGCCGTCGTTTCTGCGCTGCGACTGTGATTACGATCAAATTCGCGACGATTCTCACAAGGTGCCGTGAGAGACGGAATGAAGAACGCTGCCTCGGCGATTCGTAACCCTAGTCGGCTCGATACGGTTAGTTTTTGCGGTGTCTTGGTCCACCGGCCAAGAGAATCGGAGGAAAGGTCTCTCCGTGAGACGTTCCCTCGAGGGAACCGCATGCTGCAAACGTACTTACTCTGTGTAACTGTAATCCGTCGGCGACGATCGATCGAACTTCGACGCGAGGGATCGAGCTATGCCGACTGAAATTTCATCGGCTGTTCGAGAAATGCGCCGTGAAGAACGGTTTTTTATCCTTCTACTTTGCACTATTGTATTACCGACTTAATCCATTTTATTTTTATTAGTTGTTTACATATTTAATCCTAAAAAAATCTTGAAATTGGTTCAAATTATCAACAATGCCTTTCTTTATACTTGTGACTGTATTTCTGCATTAAATTTCTGTACTATTCATATGTCGCTGATTTAAAAATTCGAAAAATGCGCGCATTTTTAACCGAGAGCGACGAACATACAACGAATATATAAACATTCGTTGGTTCAATTGTGATCGCAGCTCGTTAGGTATAAATAAATCGTGAATCATCAATGCTCGTGGAATGCGAACGGCAAAAGAAGGAACCGTTTCTTCTCCAAACAGCCGAGTGACTTACGTGGACTTATTTCATTGAGTCGGGACCCGAACGGTACGCAAGTGCCACTGACAGATTTATAATATCTCCGCCGTCGCACTTAGCTGTCAATGGGATTATTGTCAGCCTCATGATGAGCGAAACATAACAGCAGTCAAAGACAGCGATTGAAATGGCAAGAGCACATCGCGTGCACTCTTTGGACACGACGCATTCTTGAAATGAAAAATATTTTATTAATAGTGATCTGATAATTTAATAACAATCAATTCAACCACATTTATAATAATTACACTTTTGTAATTATTATGCTTGTGGATAAGTTTTTTCGTTTTATTATTAAATTCTATTTAAAATTAGAGAATTAAATTCTAAAAAAGTATTTAAAAAGTTATTTTCCTTATTTCTTTTATTCTCTTAAAACGTGTTAAGATATTTGTTACTTCATATTTTTTATTCAATATTCGAAATTATTTTTTATTATTACAAAGTCTTTATTTTAAGATGTCAATTTTTGGTAGATATAAATGCGAGACCGAGGACTTAAAAGCGCCAAATCGTATGCAAAGAGAGAACTGGCAAATGGTGTTCGCGTGGCGCGCCAGGCCAAACGGACACTCGAACCAGTTTTCGCGAAAGTTAAAAGTAAAAGGGGTCGAAAAAAAGCTGACTCCTTGATATGAATGTCCTTTAATTAGAGCGACCGGCTGGACCCTTTTCGAATGCGTGTTTACAGGGCATTAGTTAATATATGGAGGGATGCGGACAGGCGCGTGCTACCGTTGGAAAGTGAAATGCTACTGGACGAGTTCGTTTTGGCTATTGTGGACATCATTTGGAGGTCCTCGATCGGACGTTTACCCCTCTCATTTAGGACCACACCGATCCGCCGGAAAGATCGTAATTTATCGCCGCTGCCGACACGCGCTTTCTTGCCACCCGGCTGTCTGCGCGCGAATGGCAGTTGAAGTTTTTCGCGGGAACGAACGAACCGTTGAAATTTTCGGCTGCGGTAGGTGCAATTTGCCAAAGATCAAAGCAGCGTACGAACAGTTATTGGCAATTCATCACGACACACACGCGCGATTATTGTGGTACATGACGTTTTTAAGATGAATGAGATTGAGTGCAGCGGATTTATTATAAATTGAGACACGGTGCATATACGGGATGTTTTATCTTCGGTTTTCAGTTCACATATCTTCAAAATCTTTAAAAAAAAAATGTCATACAAAAACCTTTTATGTGCGAAATATATCTCGGGTTAAAATTTTTTGCTCATCAGTGATGGATGCAATAAAATACCTGCTTGAATTAACAGATTGATAAAAGTATGAATCTAAGAAATGATTGAAGCTGTATATAGAAAAAAAATCATTTGATCGATGATCGTGATCGCAGACGATTTGTCAAAATCGAACTGTCGGGACGTTGTTGCGATCAGGTGCTGTTTCGATGTAAACTAATTCTACAGCTAATTCAATCAATAATGGGGACGAAGGGGCGCATTACATATGTATCGATGATAGATACCCATTAAGTGTACATTCGATATCGCACCTGGAGTGTCTTTTTATCGGTTCAACTGAGGGCAGTTTTAAATTTCGAAGTCGTAAACGGTAAAGTCCACTTCAGACGATCTATCACGCGGTACGAAATTTAAGAGACAACATTCTGTCTATATTTTTAAATTATAATTATATTGACATTGCATATACTTATAATTATAAATGTAATGCTGCTATAATGGATTTAAAGCGGCGAATATGCAAGAACGTTGATCAAATGAAAAGCGTTGATGCAAACTTTTTGGAAAACATACATATGCATACGAGTAATTCACAGTGATTTGCCGATAATTACACGATACATACTAATCGAATGTCCGTGCAACGTGTAACGGTCGAAAATCCATTTGCGAAGCAACGTTTCGATGATATTCGATTTAACGCCAGTATGGTTTCGTGCTCGAGGGGCAGCTTATTAGTTAGCATTATCGAAATGACCAGCTAGGATGACAGCCATTAGAACCACGAACCAGCTGCTTCCCTTGGCGCAGTTCCCCCATGGCTGGAAGACCCTGCGGTGCATCACGCATTATAATTAACCATATAGCGACCGCGCAGAGTCACCCCCATATTTGTATCGACGTACAGATAAGTAAACTGCTAACCTACACGGGGTGCCGTTAAAAACATTGCTACATACGTTATAAAATTACACGTTATAGAATCGCGTTGCTTCGCTGTATAATATGTATACGTAATAAAGAAGATTCTAAGATATATATGTAGTATATTAAAAAATATTCTTATTGAAGATTTACATTTTGCATAGCGATATACTTTATTTTGAAGTCGGTAAAAAGTAAATTTTAAAGATTTTTTATAAAAAGAATATTTTTTTTTCTCTCTCATGCGGATATTTTTGGTTTATTTTATTATAATTAAATTATAAAAATTATAAATGAATATATTGCATAAATTGTTGTACGTATGTACGCAACGAATGGAAATAATTTTTATGTCACCCTGTAGGTTACCCCCATGCATGTATGGGGACCACCATGGCACGCGCGTCCAGGTGAATGTTACCAAATGTTCGTTACAAAACGCGATTCGGGCTGTTCAGCTGACTAACGTCCGATGATTTCGATTCAGTTTCCACGTGTCGATTGGCCTAGAACGTGTCGAATATCAGATAATATCAATTTACCTGCGGCTTTTTAACATGCACACATGCGAGCTATTATATTAATTTAAAAAGAGCTCGAGGAAATAACGTGGCGAGCCATGTGAGAATTCACAGCAGTAACACGATTCGACGAGATAACTACTGTTTTAATCGATATTAATTTTAGATAGATTTTTTTGCGCTGCATTAATTTTATAGTGCTTATAATTGAATTAATTAGGAAAAAGTTTCTGCGAAAAGTTTTATGTTCGTTACGTTACAAAATGTTAAATGCATAGCAGAAAAATGAAACATGCGAGATTACACGATAATGATTCTTAATTAATCAGATTGCATTTTAATTGTACTTTTTTATAAAATTGTTATTTTCTCACACGTCTCGATGGTGACATTTTCAGAACATGATATCTAATACATATTTTCTAACATTTTTAATACATGATAAGGATGAGAAATGACAACAACAAGTACGAATGAAAGCACGATAGTTTATTACACGCTTAAATAACTAGATGACTAGAAGAATTTTCTAATCCTAAATCAACATATACATAGGACTTTCTCCTATCTCTCATGTGAGGAGAGTGCGGAGCTGCGAATTGACATTTGTAATCAGTTAGTCTTTGGAGGCGCTGCATCGTTGCTCCATCGAGGAACCAACCGTTTCAGGCTTTCGATAGCCTATCGCCGCCGAACAGAACTCGTTAAAAATCACATCGATAAATCGCAAGTATGAACTATCGCCCGTCGAAACAATGATTCACCAATCGCAAGAATTGGACATTGTAGTCAGAAATGACGTTTCTTACGGTATTCAGTTCATCCAAACCTCCACAAATTATAATATTTGGCGAATTATTTACAAAAGTTAATTAATACTTCAGTTGCCATTAATTCTAAGAATAATTATTTCAATAATAGATCAATAATAATGATGTTCAAAAATGAAAGAATAAATATATAAATTTTGATAGCGCAGATAAAGTCTGGTTTAACATAAACGGTCGTTAGAATTCCATGCACACAAATTTACGTTTACATTTGATTAATCGATGATCATTTTGCGCAATATAATTTTTTTTAAATTTTGAGAATAATACATTTAATAATTTTTTAACAGCTTAAATGGAATGTATTAATGTGAACAATTTTAAGCTAACTGTTTACGAATTGTTCTTCGCCACTCGAGAGCACGTTCAAGTTAACATGGCGGTTTTTTTCGCCACCGCAGCAAAATAACCGCGCCGCGTGAAAATGGCACGTGTGCATGGGATCTAAGGAAATATGATCATCACAATCCGACGTCATATTCTACGCGGTCTTCGTCGTTGTCGTCGTTGTCGTCGTTGCCGTTGTCGTGGTCGTCGTCTTCGTTGTTTTCGACGATTCCACATTTTGTTGTTTCGACACGTCCATCGAGACCGCCAGAGGCTTCTTGGTCACGTCGCATATTTTTCGAGCTCGCCAATAATCTGCAACAAAAATATTGAACGAAAATGTAAACGATATGTTATTAGAACGTTCGCTGAAAAACCGCGACAATATTAGCGCGTTGTATAAAAACAAAGTTGCGCGCGACACAATATGAGTGTAATAAGCCATTCGTTCTATTCATTCGATACGTTCTGCGCGATGTGAATAGGTATTTGTGAGGGAACACGTGAAGCTTTCCGTAACAAGTATATTTTCAAGGTTCCGTGGCGATCTATGAGGTTTTGTGGATCGACGGGGTCATCTCATTGCGACGTCGCGTAACCTGTGTAAGGGCGCTGTATACGGGAGCAGCACGAAATATATTTCCACAACAAAGACTACACACGCACAAAACGTCTTATGGGCACCCTACTTTCGATCAGGTAGTCACCTGAGCTAGTCCCACCCCTCGTTTCTTTCTATTCGATCTTTTTCTCTTTTTCTGACTGACAGGTGCGATTTAATATTAACGGTACCGGTTCGACAATGTTTCCTCCTTTCTCCGACGTTTCGGTAGAACGCGAAAAGCCTAAAAATCATGTATAAAAGGATCTATAATAGCAGAATGGGACAAAGTGATAGAATCGATTGTATCATTCGGCTCAGATAAATTAGATTCATTTAGATAAATACTCTAACTGCTGTTAGGATATAGAATGTTTCAGATTCACAAGACATTTATCCAGAATTCTTGGCTAAAGTTTTTTCCCGATTTTTTTTCTCAACGTCCAAGCAAAACGAACGATGTAGATACGGCGGTTGCTCGGCGGTGCACGTATAGCAGTCAAAATATCAAGGAATATTATTCGCGTTCGCGAATCGACGTAACGAATGCGGTCCGATAAATCGATGGGAAAAAGATCGAAAAAAATCCACGCAACAGCCATATGTCGAGGACACGATCCCTTCTCCGCGCTTCTCTCTTTTTGGCATTGGTTCGCCATATGGCGCGCGAAACCGAGCTCTTCCTCGACTGACGTCTTTTCTCTCTTTCTCCTTTTTCTCAGTTTGGCTCTTTTTTTTTTTCTGGTTGCGTTCACGATTTCGCTTGTCAACATCTGTTTCCACGCCTCAACGTGCCGCGATAGATCCTAGATGCGTCGAGGAAGACCGACGCTTACCTGTCCATATGTCTACGAGACATTTCGTCCCGAGAGTTCTCTTTTGTTCGCGGATCCAGACGTAGTCGGATCCTCCTTCTCCTAGCACGTTCATCGCCCGAGCGAAGGATCTCTTTCGAACTGCTCTCTAAAGCTCCGATTTTGCGGGAAAAACCATGCGAGCGGACGGCTGAGTCTCTCTTTAAGTTGTGATCGAAGGGGTCCTTTTGTCAATCTCGCGTCGTATAATCGAGAATATCAAAGATCTTCTATTTCCACGACGCGGAAAATAACACTGCGATCACCCCTCACTTATGCGATACGATCCGCGTTTATTTTACCTCCTGTTAATCGTACAAGAAAATAAAACTAGAACTTTTCTTTCTCTGTCAATCAAGCGATTCAGCCGGATGTTGGCAAAAAAAATATAGATTCTTTCTATTTAATAGGTTTATTGTATAAGTTTGTTTACTGTGTTTTGGTTGTACATATTTATTTAGGTAGATTTTGCTTATTTTGTTTTGGAGAAAATCCAAAGGGACGCAAACATACGAAGTCGTTGCGAGGCATAAGTTAACAGGCTAAATGAAGGTATTCTTATTTTGTGTGTATGTGTGTGTGTGTGTGTGTGTGTGTGTATTAGAGGACAGGACAAGTAACTTTCGTCAGTTTCTGGAGATGTTAGATAAGTGAAGGAGCGATGTAATTAACGTAGTCAGCTCTTGTATTTATATCAAATGCAACTTGTCCCAGCAGGTGTCGCGCGACCTTCGAAAGGTCCCGCCACGCGGTATCGCGTGTTCGCGAGTCTGATTTAATCGTGGGAAAAGACGTTCCAGTCGTCATGGGCCCGTAGCGAGGACTAACAGGTGTCGGAAAAAGAGCTGGTTGCACCGTGCCGCTCCGTTGAATTTTCGAGGGTCCCTCGTGTGTCGTCGCGTTCCAACCCAAGGAGTCACAGTCGTGCAGGGGATTATCAAGTGCAAATAGACACAGGATCTCGGTTCGACGTTGAGACTGCCCCTCCCCCTCCCCCCGCCCTCCTACCCTTTCCCACTCCTTTAGCTTTGAAAAGTATTTCACTACGATATCACGTGTACGTGTATCAATGTATTGATGATTTCTTAACCAGTGTGTCACTTTGAATTCCTATATAATTTCAAAAGAGATGTTATCTTTATACACGATATTAAATGATAAATAAAAGTTTTGTAGAAATACTCTTCCCGGCAAAAATACGAGGTATGTTCAGTTCGCGGTGTGCAATTTGCTGCCGGTGTCATCGGTTTCGCATGCAGAGGCATGCAATGCCTCGCACTTGGTCGCAAAAATATAATCCATTGTGCATAAAATTCCATGCAATAAATTGGGAGGAGCGGGCGTAAATATCATGCTGGTGGAATCCAAGGAATGCAATCGCGACTCCTTTTACTCCTTGGATATTAAGGGCCCCTTCGATGACTCACGGCGGAGCCCTATGCAGGTATTTTACGTCGCTCGCCTTAGACTATGATTCACACGGGCGTGATTCATTCTCGATCGCGATGGTTCTTCGACGTCCTAACCGCGTCCCGCACGACAACGCGACTGGCAGACTGGCGTTTCTCACGATTACGCATCATGCGTGTCCACTTATCTTTTCGTGATAAGGCGAGCATTTTTCTCGTAGATATTCGGTTGTTGCGCCCGAACCAATGAATATTTTTTTCTCAAATATTTTACGTAAAACGTAAAATTATATTTACCGTGAATTAAACTTCCTAAATACAAAAATAATTAAAGTTACATTTTCTAACAAAATAATTTTTAATTATTATTATAGTTCTTTCAACTTGAAGAGAAAAATACTGTACTTGGATAAATATTTTTTAAAATATATATAGTATTAAGAAATTAAGAAATTATTGACAAAAATTATAAAAATTATTTATATACATCTTGTGAGCAGTCTAGAAAAGAGTAATAAGTCTTTAGTCCGTAGTTAGGTTATTTAGATTATCGCTATGATGGGTCTCGCTTTACGACGCGTGCTTCTGGCGTAAGAAATGATAGTCCGACAGGGTGGAAAGGTTCTTCGAAAGAGCGCGTAAAACGAGTAGCCCGGATACTCAAGCGAGGGAGGGTCATAGAAGGAGGAGAAAAGACGGAAGAGGCGATGGACTTATAAAGAATAAGAAAACAGGTCGGGCCACGCGACGGGTATTCAGAGAGGCAGCGCCTGCGCTCCCGACTTCCCTTCTTTCAGTGCGGCTTTCCCGCCAAAAAGTTGCGACTCCTATGACGCCGGTACTTCTCATTTTAGCGTCATCGAAAAATAATATGTAAATTATAGAAAAAATTGATTTTAAAGTACAAATTTTTTAAGAGAAAAGCAGAATCACTATAATATTAATACTGCGAATATCGTTGCATAATTCAATCAACGTTCGATAGCATGCCATATTGAGTTTGTGTAAGAGATATTTTTAGCCTGGCCATGTACATTAAACTGCAGAAGACAGTATCAGGCGAATGAGTCGCGGTAGACCGACCTTCTTTCGCGAACTGATATACGATACGTCGAGAAATTTTTACGTATTGTCGATTTAAGGAAGTTTTCCGAATGTGTCGCGTTTAATTCGTGCGCCCTCGTGCATATTCCGCGGCCATATGCATTTTCGGAGTGCATTCGCGCGCCTAATTATCGTTAAATACATCAATAAAATTCGCGGCGATACTTGGCGAGAGAAATGTTGCTCACCGTGAATGCTGGTCTGCCTTGAATACGGATTACTTCGCTTTTTGCTGGGCGACGGCTGACTCTTCTCGTTGTTCCGTCTCCGATAATTATTCTCCTTATCTTCGGAACAGGGATTCACTCCCCACCTCTTGGCGAATCTGCTCCTTTCCGCGTCCAGCGCATCCTGCAGCATCTCGATCGTCTCCTGCGAATTCGGCTTACCAAATAGGCAACGTGGTACTCGCGAAGTCATGGTTGTGCTGGGTAACAACGTGTAGTAGACTTCGAAACAGATTGAGGCTGCTAGCATTTCGGGATCGTGTTTCCACTTGTATGCGTAGTCGAGCGAGCTCGAAATATTTCGCGCACTTTGTCGTAACAATTGCGATATTACGAGCGCTGATTCTTCTCGGTTTTCTTGTCCAATGTCTTCCGGAGGAGCAGAGGAATCTTTGACAACGTGAATGTCGTTAATTCGCGCGACTTTTCTGTCAGGTTTTCCTCTCGAACTCTTGACGATAACTCCTTGGCAACCGATAGACCGACTCTTGATCCTCACCGTTCTACGGTCAGACTCGCTCTAATAGGATCATCGTGAAGGCAAAGGCAGTCAGCCCGTCCGTTCGAGAACAGCCAGAGCCACGAGGTCTGGCTGTTCCCTTCCATCGGCCGTTCAAATTCAAATCTGATTGGTGCGCCGTGCAGGTTGCGCAGTAAAAATGGCGCGAATTTTTCTATAGCGTTTTCCTCGTCGCACGCACGTGACGTCCGCTCCGTAGTCTCTTTCCAACTCGTGCTCTCTCCACGTGTAACCCTCACCATCGAGTTTTCGTACTCGAAACCGTCCAACGGATTATGCTAAGCGATCTCTCGCTCTCGAGGTGGGGAAGAACATGCGGCATAAAGCGTACCTTTTGCATCTTTTTCTAAGCAGCACGACGTATAGAGCGATCACGATTGCGATTCGAACATGCTGCGATGTGATTTGAACTGATCTTCTTTCCGTCGAGATTTTTTCCGATTGAACTATCACGCTTGCTCAATCGCGAAATTGCTCGGAAGAAGTCTTTCTCTTATTAGTATTTTTAATTAAATTTGCCTTTTGCATAGTTTTCTTTAGATATCAAATAATGGGTTAAAATAAATAATTTTGGATTTTCTTATAAATTGTGTTATGGTTTCTTACGCAGCGTGTTTAAAATATTGTGATATGGGCAAAACTTGATAGCAATTTCGACAAATAAATATTTAATGTTAGTATTAAATTAACTGCTTTGCCTGACGAAAAAGTAGACAGATTTATTTGAAAAATCCGAAATTATCTATTACACAACTCAATAATTTGTATTTTCATATCTGCTGCATATATTTGCTTTTACATATAAAATTTTTTATTGTTATTTAGATACAAAAAATTTGTTGTTTTTATCGAAAAATCTAAAGATACAACAAGTACAATATTTTCGGTAAAAGTTTATGGAAGAATAGATGTTTTCGATCGTATAAGCGTACGCACCATTGTGACTACAAGACAGTCCAATTGTCGTGAGCACGACTGCTTCGGGCATTTTTGCGGGAAGTCGGGCGTTCTGCAGCAAGAAGAAAAAACGGTCATCCGAGCAGGTGAAGCAGCCGGAGAACGAGAGGGAGAGACCAAGTGAAAATAAGTCTCAGGCCCTTCGAGAAGCAGCAATCGTCTTCTTCTCGAGCGCTTAGAACTTTCGCTAGACGCATCTTATAAGCAAGCCGTAATCATGCGGTTTTCATATGTGTCGTGAAGGGTGCATTATATTGCATCGCATTATACGCCTGTCTTTATTTTTATAGTATCTTTTCATAAGATCTTATTTTGTATTAAGTTTCTTTTGCTGCCTCGCTTTTGTGATGTCAGTTTAATATTGACTAATCTTAATTGCTATTCTTTACAAATCTGTTGCTATCTATACATTTTTCATGAATATATTGTGTTATATAACAGGTTAATGTGACTCGACACAATAGGGCCACGCTTTCCATAAACGGGATTCAAAATGCAACCCGAGAAGAACGAAGGTCTCACCTTTGACTCTCAGGCGTCACAGTTCTTTGAATATTTTCTTTCAAAAATCAATCACAATTTAGTTTCTTTATGAAATAAGTAAATTATCATCGTAAACGCAGTCAGTCAACTATAAATTACGATACATTTGTATTTTTTATTTGTTACAACATTTTTTTCTTTTATTACATTTTCTTTAAGCTTTATAGAGGTATTGAAAAATTTCAAAGAATACTATTTGTTATAAAAACAATTTCTCTATCCCGCAATACAATTTCCATTTCGAAAATGGTGCGTGAATTGATTAAATACATAAAATCCCGCTTAAGTGATATTCGCGTATAAATTCGGGTGGGCGAGACGAGGGGGAGAGAGGGGGGCGGTATGCAGATAGAGTGCCTGGAGCCGGTGGAAATAATAAATGCGCCACTGTGCGCACGTACATGAAATAAAGCGTGACGTACGCCGCGAGATTCGAGACGTGCAATTATAAGCATCTTGCGCGCGATACCGGATGGACTGTAACGTGGCCTGGCCGAGTCACGGTTCGCTATATCACGGCTGGCCCGAATGATGGGGGTAAATTCGACCGTTACAGAAAAGCACATTGCAACGCATCGAGTGTGTGCGTGCACACGCGCATCCTCCTCTCGCGCGTTCACCATGGACAGGTGAACACCGCGACCACCATGACCAGCGCCTGTAAACCATTAAGTTTGTGATTGCCTCTTGGGATTTTTCCGTAATACCCACGCCCGTTTGGTTATTATCGTTGATTATTACGCGCTTTGTAACGTAATTACTTCCTAACGTAAGATTGTAGTGTATGCAAGATTGTTGGCAATTATCAGTTGATAACGCATAAAATGTTCTGCGGGAAATGTACATGACTCTACGAATGTTTAAGAAAAAAATTTGTCGAGCAATTTGCTATTTTTAAATTTTTATAATAATGCTGTTGTATGAATCTCTCGTTATTCCGCGGAAATCGTTTTTCTCGCTCTCGGCATAGCCGTTGTATCTCCGCGGAAATGCCGACTTCCTTCTTGTTTAAACGCGGGAACATCGATATCCGTGGGGGATTTCGAGTTTCGAGTCCCGCGCTCCCCATCGGGTGCCCACTTCCGGTTCTGGTCAAGCAGACCGGAACAAGCGGGGTCCCAGGGGTACACCGTGACGTCAGAACGTCGTCGAAAATTAGGGAGAAACCGATCTGCAGGGGTTCCACGCCAGGATGTAGTTAATGCCGCGACTTTAACTCGTACCGAAGACGATTACCGAGCCCGATCATTTTTCACGGTTATGAGTAGATTAATGATGCAAACGAGGCACGCAGAACGATTTTTGAAAATGCCGATTATATGTTACCGCCGTACTGTCGGTTCCTTATTTTATTTTTACCTGATATATCCTTGTGCAGAAAGCTAACAAGTTAAAATGTTTAAAAAAAGTTTGTAAATTATATTATACTTTTTCAAACTATTATTTATACATTTTTCAAATTGAATATATTAAATTTTTCCACGATAGCATTTAAATAGAGAAAGTAGAAATTTAATTTTTATTTTTAGAATACATATGTTAGCACATCATCTTACCGCGTGTTCTTGTGTTAACTGTGCGTGTTTTCGTTTACAGGCACGATCAGTTCTTCGCCACGAAGGAAAGCGCCTCGTGAAAAGATGATCAACAGCTGACACCGCAATGAAAGAGGAAAGAGAATGAAGGACATCGTATAAGATGAGCGGAGAAGTCGCAGAGAATAAGGTAAGAAAAGTCAAAATTCTACCCTTTGGCCATCGGCGCGAGCACCTGGCAGCATATGTGCCAAATATAAAAGAAGCATCGAACGAGCATCTCTGCGGGCTGGATTCTCTTCTCTCTCGCTCCGCGAATTCTGTTCCCGCTTGGTTGGCTACGAAAACTCTGCGGGATCATCGGTGCGTCTCGCGCGGCTTTCTTCGCGTGTCCAAATTAACGGAAGCGCACCGCGTGTCGACCGATGGTCGGTCAGCTGTTCGTCGTGATTGTTGCCAACCGCGTATTAACTTGACATCAGACAACGGACTCGAATATGACAAACAATTCTACTGCAACTTTATCCCAAATTTTATTTTTCTCATCTTAGTATCAATGATGGACAAATTGATCGATTGACAATTTGCAACCTTAATTTTCATAACAGATTTGTGCTCTGACAAATATAAACTTTTGAAACAAAAAAAAATTAGGCTCGAAGAGGAGGAGACATTAAAAATTCAGTATTAACTGAACAAAAATTTTCGTTTTTCCTATTTCACGATAAAGTGCCAATTGGTTTCAAAACCGCATTGCACATTGCGGTGTGGCTTCAGGTAGTGTGGAAAAAAACATAGAGATGGCAAGATAAAGGGCAGAAACTGCATAATAGGTCTCTCGTTTACAACTACCTGTAGATATCTGAAAGCGTCTGCGAGGAAACAATGCCGTCTTTTTGGCGCGCGAGCAAACAGACGAAACAAACAAGAGTGGTCGCGTGGGTGCAATGTGGTTGCCCTTATGCGGAAACTCGATATATTTAGAGTTTCATGCTGCAAGCCACAAGACGCTTAGTGGGCGTGCCGTAGATTATTATCTCTCCTAATTTGCGTAGGAATGTTAGGCTCATTGCCCAGAAATGCGATAGCGAAGTCGCTCGATGTTTTCAATGGAAATAAGATCGCGTCTGTACATTGTCACGTTTGTCATAGACCATCGGTGTATAAGTGGTGAAAAGGGTGTGCGTAAACAGCTGCCGTTGGGATGCAGATGCTCTGGAAATTTTGAAATTTCACCCACGCAAACAGTCGCGGATATTGTAAATGGATCCGCGCGAGGCTGCGCCTTTCACGCGCGCAGAAATTCTCATTTTCGAACGCTTTGATAGAATTTTTTGCACTCGCGTAATTGGCAGAGCTATATTCGCAACAAAAGTCGATACGGAACACTGAATTAGTATTCACGAGTGATTTAGCTTCTTCTTACGATATTATTTTGTATTGTTTATTGAGTCTTTTAATGATTAAATATCAATTATTTAGACTCATGGATTCATTCAACAGATGATTTACAGGGATAAACATGACGTCTCTTTTGCGCGAAGTAATCAATGAAACCAATCCACCAATGAATCCACTTTATTTCTTCTGTCCTCGCAGAACTAATTAACGCGGCGTTTAAATTTATACCTAATAAACACACGTCTTCTATCTGTTACGCCTAATACGGTTAATCGATACGTTGATCGGCCGCTGTATATATAAGACTAAAACGGTCGCGGGTAATTGAGCCAGTTTACTCGCGGCGCAAAAATCGTGCGTGCACCGGAGCGGAGGAAGCGTTTAACGCAGGATGTTGCTCTACACTTTGTACTCCGTGCGTGCCGCGCGCTCGTTTATTTTTCTCTTGGCCGACGCGACGCCGCGTAGCATTGACCGCTCACTGCGAGATGCAGAAAAGGACGAGGAAAAATTGTCGGCCAGATATTAGCCGCTTTTCAGAGCGAGGATGCAATGACATCGTTTCTCGAACAACGACGCTCAAGGTCGGCGCTGCAATTTTAGTCAATTTAGAAGTCTTTTACGATATGAACCGTAGACATTAAGAACTGCAATTTGCATGCTTTTTATAGACGTCGAATATAATAATTAGTGTTTTCTTTTTTTGGTTACACGAACATCTCTCGATAGTCTGTCCTTTACTTTTGTTTTATTCTTTTTCGTCGAGAAATGTGAATAAAGATTGCTGACATTTTGTTTTCTTAATTATACGCAACTCTTCTTACAAATTACGTTAATAAAGATATGATTGTAGGATCGATTTTTCGTGCGCACATTATTTCATTGATAGAAGCAGAAATTTTAATAATGTAACGTTAATCTACTTGATAAATCTTGATAAATAATGACGTATACCTTGCTGACGATAAGATACGAGGTGCTAATCTTTTTTATGGTGTCCTGATTTTCTTAATAGATGTACAATATGATAATGGCGCGGTTTTGACAAATCTCATTTAATTCGAAAAGACATCGCGAGGAGCTCCGGGGGAAGTTGGGCTTGGTATGGCAGAGCACACAGAAGGAAAGCAAAAACGCGCACGGCCGAGATCCGAACAATGCGGGAGGAAGGCGTGACGGTGAGCTTTACGAATCTCCGTCGATCCAGCTGCTCGTACCTACATACACAATTTACCGTCGACCTTTCGAAGCCTCCACCTCCGCGCGATAGTTCGTTCAGATAGTCTGAATACCGGCAAATCTGCCGACGAACTGCCCCCGCTGGAGGGGGTGGAACAGCTGTTTCGTTCAGGAAGAGAAGAGCCTCGTTGTGAATATTTAAAGATCCCAAGTGTAAAGATCCTATGTATTCTACTTTCAATGAACTTTCTAGTTGTCAGAGACGATTGATGGGATTAGATTGTTCTAGGAATACATCAAATCAAAATAGAAGAAATTAATTTATCATCTTTTTTGTTATTTTAATGATCAATAGGGTGGATTTCATAATTGTTTTAAAAAGAAAGTGCAAAATTTCCATCTATTTTTAGAAAGTTTTGACGCTTCACTCTGAGTAGCAGTTGTATTCTTAGTCGAAAATCATAGGTGAAAAAAAGATCTCGCCAGGCAACGCAGTCAGGATAGCCAGATGCCGTAGGTAATTAAATCGCAAACAGAAGCAGGACGTTTCACACGGCTTGACGGATCGCAGGCCTCAAGGCACGCCATTAACTTTAAAAGCTAGATCTCATGCGTTACAAAGTATACAATGAATGTTTTAAGGCAGATCTTTGTGTTTTTATAAACGAAAACAAATATTGAAACGCAATAGTAATTTACATTTTATGCTTTAATTATTTTTTGAAGGAAAGCTAATGAATTTAAAAAGCCGAAAGATTTATTGGAAGATTAAATGCGTTCCGAAATGTGTCACATGTCGCGTCACATGTAGTAATTAAATAGTTGTCACAAAAGATCTCTGTTTTTCTCATCACCTTAGCGTAACTAAGCTCTCGTATTTCCACGCTCGAAACAGGAACAGGAAGGACACGTCCCCTTAAGCGAGAAAAAATTGTGGGTTGATCTAAAGAGAAACCATCTTGTCGTGCGGGCAGCAAGTAATCCGATCTTTTGGACAGTTTTACGGCTTCTATTAATATTAATTGTGAACTTATTTTTCGGTGCAAAAGATATTTAAGATATTTGAGAAAGATATATAGCCGGAGATAATATTAAGTGGAGTTATCTTGCGTACTATCTAGCGAATATGATAAACATGTATTTATAAATGGAAGATATCTAATTATTTATAATTATTATAAATCGACATTTATAATAATTATAATTTCGTTAGTATATTTGGTTTATAAATGGACATTTATAATAATTATATTTATTATATTTATCATATTCTGAAGATTATTTTCCGCAGAAAAATCCAAATTTTTCACATTATAAAACACTATATCCGCTATAATATTGCTTCATCTTGTAAAGTAAAACCTCGATTGCAGAATTGAGCAACATCGTTACTCCACACGATTTCTTCGCCGCGTTGAACGGCGCGTCCGGTTGCAGCAACGCGCGCAATTGCAGCGTGTGCGTCTTTTAACGATAGGTCTGAAATGGAAAAAAGGAAACTCGAAATAGCTCGTTGTCAGATAAGCTCTACAGACTCCTGGGAACGCGGTTCCCGCCAATTCCTTGACGGGTGCTCGAGGCGGTGTAACGGCCGTTGGTCCGAGATGCCTCGAAAGTGGCAGGTGCAACTCGGGCCAAACTTCATTAAACACAATCCCATCTGCGCCCTCATACTTTCAAGACGTCTCGTAGCCGCCGTAACTTTTTGGAGGATGAGAAAGAGAGTGAGAGACAGAAAGAGGAAGGTGGGATAGAAAGAGAGAAAAGAGAAGAAAGGAGCCCTAGCAACTCCGGAACCTCCGGTTGGCGTATCTGTTCTTGTCTTTTTTCCTCTTTTATCTTTGCTCGCAAGACAGGAGGATTGACTCGTCCGACGGAGTTGCTCGAAACTACACGCTCTGCGTGACAACAACTGAAATGCGACAGGTGCCCATTCTCGCGCAACGGGAAAGCGTATTGTAAGAGAAAAGGTGACACACTTGTCTGAATACCAGGACATATTTAAGCAAATTATAAAATATCCCGCAGCACAATAGAGCGTTGTCAACGCTTTTTGTACTTATCAATATTGATCGTTTTTTTACTCTTCAAATCATTTAAATTGCTCTATTCCACTATTAATTATCTATTATGTACTCATGTACTTATCTACTTATTAGAGTAAAATAGGAAGTCACGATATGGATATGTAGATATTTCAGAATTTTTTTATGTTAGGATTGTGGATTTTGAAGGTGCGAGCGTGTGTTTTTCGAATTAGTAAAATTTAGACACTGAAGCGAGTCAAATCGTCGTTGAGTACAAATTGTTTCTCGGTAGGAAGAGACAGCCACGCGGCTGGTCCTTCTGCCACGCGTGCCTGGTCCTTCGAACCCTTGAGATTTATTGGTTTTAGAATGCCGTCAACTCGGAGAAAGATCAGAAGCAAGCGGCGCTTACGAAATACTCGCACGACTTTCACATCGATAACTTAATAACAGTAATCATACAACAATTGTCAGCTGATTAAGCGCGGTTGCGTATAAAAATAAAGACAAAATAATGAAACTTAATGAAGACTTAAATATTTCATCTCTTATTAACTAGTAATTTCGTACAAATGAAGATTTTGTACGCAGAAGATTATTATCATAACAATTTTGAAGATTGTATTATTTTTGTATATTGTATAGCTTGCAGTATTTTTATAAAACGCAACGATCTATTTATAGATAACGAAAAACGCACAATCGATACAGTTTGATAAAGATCATTCGCCATTCCGTGAAAAATCCTTAAAGACCGACTCGTTTCCTCGCGAATTTCGGTGATGTTGGAACTTTTTTCACAACTCACCATCCGCACGATGTCGTAAAAGAAGCTCAATTTAAACGAGAAAGCACATAATATATAGGCTTTACAGGATCTTTAAACTTTAAAGGGACTGGCGCTCAAACAGCTGACGCTTCTTAAAATACTCAGATATTCTATCCAACAAATTCAGGACACTTTGAAATCGCAAATCAATTGATGTTAGAAACTGTCAGTTGTAAAAATATAGAAATTTGATGGGAAATATCATTTACACGCTTTATAGACAATATCTTTTATAATTTTATTTTTTTAAATAGTATTATAAATGCTCTTTCCGTGTATTGACTTATCTATATTCTATAGTACTGATTCGGCCAATTCGATACGATTAGCTTTTCGTATTTCCATAGTTCTCACGCTGATAAAACGATTATCGTGCTCATCCTCTTGTCCTTCCCCATTTTACATAATAGTAAACATTCTTGCTGACCAATTAATGCGGATAATCGTACATTTCGCCGTGGCATCTGCTGCAGGCAACATGATATCCAGGTGTTAAACGAAGCGTGTGTCTGTAGCGTTTGATACTTTTTCTGCCGGAATCAGTATGAAATACGACCACCTTTCGGTCCTCGTTCACATCAGCGAGCGAATACACGATGGACAACAAATTTTCCTATTAAAAAAAATATGCCAAAAGTTATATTAATATATATAAAAGAGATTTAAGTGGAATATGTCATTTTATGCAACAACGCGCGTCATGTCGTTATCGCTTCGCGTCAACTGAATCAAAATCAATATGCACGAAGAGTGAAATCAATATGCTTCGCAGAGTGCGTCCCGGCCGATCAACGGTTCACACGATTACGCAGATGGCGTCGTAAATGTTACAATTTACCAAGTAACGAGGTAATTGGGGTGGGCGTAACCGTGACGGATACAAGGGTGATCGAAACCTCGAACTATTCTATTTGTTAAACCCAGCTAATTAAAGAATATTGTTTTCCCAGCGCCATATGCAACCTTTATTAACTCATCACGTAAGGATCGGCGACTGCCAATCTAATCCGCAAGATCGCGGGCAATGGACAATAAAAAAATATATAATATGCAGATAATGAGAGACAATTATCAAGATAACGTATGTAATATAAATATTTACTGTTAAAATAATACTGTGAAAGTGGCTGATGTTTTGTTTTCGATAACGATTACTACTTATTTACAAGAAATTCAATAATTTGATTTGTTTCTACGACATGTCGCTGATACTTTCTGTGAGCTTTTTAAAAACTATGTATATTGTCTGTTTAAAATTATTTGCGGTAGATAACATTGACAGAATCTTTAAACCTTGCGAAATTGCTCCTCCTGTAGCGCCATGTTAAATACAAGATGACAATAACGAGAAAAATATCAATAAATAGTATGACAACGATCATTTTGATATTATCAATTGTTCGAACAGCACAATCAATCTCTGAAATAATAAGATATTTAATTAACAGTGATTAAAGAAGGCATAATGTAATTTGTCCATCACAATTATAACGTATTAGTTAGTAACAGCGTAAAGCACCACACCTGTTTTCGAGCAATCCTTGTCGCACTCGTTGAATGTAATCAAGCGAACGTCAGAGATAACAACGTCTATCTGCTTTCCAACATTTATTGTGGTATTTGCTTTGCATATAAATGCTCCTTCCTTTATAATGGGAAATAATTTCAGGTCTCTGTGCTGTGTGTCCTCGTGTATTTTTCTCTCTGTCAAATATTGAAAAATGCATTTATAACATATTTAAATAATATAATGAAAGATTAGAATAACGTGTCATATATCACACTACATTTGCGATCTTGCGGGATTTTGAAATGTAATTCAGTGTACCTCGTGCATACGGGAAATTGTATATGTCGACAGATACAAAATTAAGGAAAGACTTATTGTCAGTAGCGTTGTAAGTGTAACCAAAAGTGATTTTGTTTTTTTTGTCTTCGTCGTTTTGATTTTTGAAACTTTCCTTCCAGCTCAAAGTTATTTCGTTCTCTTTTTCGCTACAGATGCCTGTTGTTATTGCATTCGTCGGAACCGTCAATGTAATTTTATTTTTCTAAAAAAATATAATTGCAAAATTATATAAAATTAAATAAAAAGCAATTGCAATTGATACTTTAAATATACACTATAACTGCTTTTTAAAAAGATAATTACATTTGATTAATTGGTAAAGTAATGATTAAATATGCACCGTTATTTACTAAAAAATCGGTTAAATGTAAATTTTTTTTTAGATTTAATTTTTTTAAACACGTTTTTAAAAATATTTAAAAAATTGTTTTCAAACATATGACAGTTTTAATTACCTGAGAATCCTCGATTTTGTAATGTATATTTATTTGAATCGTCATGTTAGATAAAATGCACGCCGTTTTGTTTTCGGTCTTATTATTCCATACAACATAATTAAATTTGGGGTCGGTAGTTCTACAATGCGTTTTATTTGTTTTAGCAGACGTTATATTTTCTGTTGTCATATAGCTCTCGCTGCTAGTTGTAGATTTTGTAGTACAATTAGTAGTAGTGTTTGTATTTGTTGTCTCTGATGCACTTGTTGATGTCATTTTTGTAGTTGAAGATATTGTTGGAGTAGTTGATGTTGGATTAGTTGATGTTGGCGGAGGAAAAGGTGGTTGCGTTGTCGTCTGCGTTATCATTGTAGTTGGAAGAATTGTCGTTGATCCTTCTGTAATTATTTCTGAAGCAGCTGTTGTAATTGTTATGTCTGTTGATATTTTTATTGTATCGTTCACCAGTATTGTCGCATCTGCGATCATCGTTGTATTTATTGTATTCGTTGCAAATGACGTAGACGACATTTCTGTAGTTGTTGATTCACTCTTTACACTTGATGTTGTTAATTCTATTGTTGTTGCATTTGCCTCTGTACAATTTACATCTTCATACTTAAATTTGATATCCTTATTTGCTTGGATTATGTACGCAACTGTTGGGATAAATATTTTATCGATATTTGCTTGTTAAATCAGTATAATCGACAGGGAAATAATTTCTTGTAAAAAAATAAATAAAAAATATAAAAAACATTTTTTAATTATTTAAGTGACATTCTCTAGAGTGTTTTTTTTTTAATGCAATCAACGAAAATATATATTTTTCTATACTTTTGTTTTTTTTACAACAAATTTTCTCCTTGCCGATTGTACTATCATTTACTAGATTTATGTATTTTTTCAAAAGAATGATTAAAATCAGAATGATTAATCAGAAGATTATTATAAATTATAAATTAATCATTAGAAAACTGGTTATTGAATAGAAACTTATTTAAAAAATAAAAATGGAGTTACTTAACTGTACAGCAATAATATTTGAATTCCGATTATCGTGAACAGCAGTCGAATTAAAAATACAGTTTTTCGTTTCATACTTTATTTTTAATACTTCGGAACACTTCTTTTTACGGAACACGCACTGCTATATCGCCGTATCCGTCACTAATTAACCACAATTGCTACACAAGATTTAATAAGTCAATCAGTGCTGACTTATCTTAAAAACTTGAAGAATATCTTAAAAAGAAGGATTTTTTTTAACTAAAAACAAAATTTTTTAATTATCCAGAAAATACGAATAACAAAATAGTTAATCAATATGTTACGTTTGTCGTTGTGAAAGGTAACGATGATTAATTCAGCTTCTCGTAAGAGCAAAAAGTTATCCGATCAAGTGTGCATGACAGCGATTAATATACACGATTCACGTATTTTAGCATATCCCTATGACATCATTGACGTTTTTGCGTATTATCATTTTGTTTTTGGCCAGACGATGAGATAGGATATCTGTAATTCTTCCCCTCTAACCTCTACCCCTCTAATCAGTACATTTATTCTAAATCTGCTACAGTTAGATTCGTAAAGCGATAACTTGCAAAATTTTTAAACGGCATTTCGTTTATTTTTAAGTGAGGTTAATCTCACTTTACGATTGAAACTTTGAAACAATATGCTTGCAAAGCTTGTATCAATTAATATGGTTGAGGCTATTAATGATTCTTGCATTCACAGTTTTCATTATTTTACAATTTAGAGCTTATTTTTAAATTTTCTTAAATATTTTGTCAGATCAAGAGTTCGTACTTCTCACGAATTTGTAACATATAATCTCTATTTTTTAAATATAGATTTTTAAAGGGCGATTCGGAAATAAAGCCTACAATTGACAAACGCGTGTAATCAGTACTCAAGATGGGTTACCGTTTTTATTTTATATTATAGCGTATCGAACAATAGCAGTAATCACGCTGGAACAATTAACGGATCATGCACGAATGCACCCTTTTCCGCCATATCGTTGCACGACCGGATATTACTGTACGGTTTTTTGTTTCGCCATATTATTATCTCTTTTGTCGCGACTCGTGTCGGTGCGCGCTACAATCGGGACCGGTGAAATATAAACCCTCTACTCCCGCGTGAGCCACCCCTTTTCCGATTTTAGTGACTCGCGAGTGGTTGCGGTTTCAATTATTACGTTGACGTGGAGCACGTGAAGGTGGACAAAGGCAGAATGCTGTCGCACTTGACAGAAATTGCATTTGTGGTCGCGCAGCACACCCCGTGGTCATTAATCGTGCATTAAGCCCATACCGATCGTTGCTCCGACTCTGTATTGCAAACTATTATTCTTTCAGCTGCCTAATTCGTGGTTTTGCTTGATTTTCATGTCTGTCAATTTTGTTGCACCGAAAAGATGTTTGGTTTGCTTCGAGTCATTGCTGCAGATTCTTTAAGCGGAATATAGCATCTGGAGATTCTTCATTAGTCTCATTCATTCATTCATTCTTCTCTTGACAGATAAAAAGTAAATATTTTCTTGAAAGTTGCTTTAAAATTTTTTAAATATTAGTATTTGATTGTTTGTAATATTTCTCAAAAGTAATACATATAATATTTTAAAAATTTACGTAAAAAATTATCGTGTGGAAAGTTAATAAAAATAAAAATTTAAAAATTAGTTATTTTAAACGATTAATTAAATTTGCTCGATGTAATTTAATTTACTTCCTTTATATACACAAAATTGCTCATACAATTATTCTGAGCAATTTAAAACAGCATCTTTTTGCAATACTTTCATGTTTTTTCCATGCAATAAATATTTCTAACAATGGATACTTATTTCTGAAAAAGAAAATGTATATACCGCAAAAATGTATATGTGATTTTTAGACGATCGTAGATAACGATGAAAGACGAGAAGAGAAGTCTAGACTTGAATCTCCGACTTTTACATTTGTGACCTGAATTTTTTTTGACCTGACAGATTGTTCCTTTGGGAACAACCCTCTTTGCAGAAGATCATCTATTCGAACATCAAAGATAATAGATCTTATCGCGTGTTTATCTTGGTATTTTTAGATAGTTTACCTTAGATAATCTAAACTTTTAGCAAATACTTAATGATTTGAACTGTTTAGATTTTAGCATTTATCTAACAAAAATTTAGAGAATGGGCAAAACTTCCTCTGTTCCTTATTTTCTAAATTCAGATAAACTACCAAAGTAAAGCGATATAGATTACAAGAAAGAATGAAAACGTTTTGATGTCTGATATTTTCCACTACAACAAAGACATAGTCAAATTATATAACGATCTTTTTCTCTCATAAATTCACTTATAGGTATTGATACAGGTAGACAAACGTTAAAAAAGTTTAAAAAAAAAATATACTGTCGTTTCAGGCCTTGAACATATCTGCTCAATCAAAAAACCTTTCGAATTTTATCAGGCAATCTTCATGTAGCAAAATCATTGGGCAGTTTTTTTGAAATTATATCCAATCGGCGCTATTGTGATGCAGTTTCGGCGATCTATTCAAGCTATTGAAAATTAGTGAAAATATTACATCGAGATGATGCACACACAATATTGCAAACGCGTTACGTTACAACATCTGCTGTGGCGCAAAACCCTTCAATGTTTATCGGTTGATTGCTATCTGAGAAATGTCAGAAATATCATCGAAGAACAACCGAGCACCCCCGCGGTGTCACAACGTGATTTCGATAGATCAAACCGGAGATCGATTTTGTTCAATCGACCATCTGCCGCGTCGAAGGATTGTTTGCGCCAACCCCTTCTTAGATCTTTGGACCTTTACGTGCGAGTGGTTACCCACAATACAAGGCGAAAGGTGCACAAATAATATGAATAAACGGTTACAGCAATTTCTTCATTTTGTGCCAGTATTCTCCGAATAATACCGAGTGCAATATTGAATGAAAGTAATTATGATTGATCCTTTGCGATCCAAAGTAATTTGAAAAACTGCCAACAAGCTAACGCTGCTTGTTGTAATAATTAATTTCCATCGCGTGCAGAATTTTATAATGGTCTGAAATACAATAGAAATCACAATCAAATGAGCTTAAAAGGATATACATTGTCAAACACACCAAATCTATTTCTATATACACATTTCTATAAGCACAATTTCGCTATCAAGCACATGTGTCGTGATTTTTATGAGAACTAGGACCGGAAATGACCCAATTAACAACCAGTAGTTTGGTAATATATGTGAGTACGCGTAACATACGCAGAAATTCCCACCAAAATTTCGGCATGGGTGAGCGTTTCCCTGCGCGCGCGCGCCGAGTTTCCCATAGAACACCCCCAACGATAAATAATGCATGTCGATTTGCTCCGCTTCGTGGCGATTTCACGCGAAGCGTGACAGCCAGACGAGACAACTGGACAAAAGAGAGATTAACATAAATTCCGCTCTCATGCGTCTCGTAGAATTGTGCGCGGTCCGAGATCGGCGCTTCTGATGAATAAATTCTCGGAAATGCTTTTATGGGAAAACACACACTGATTGAGGAAATCGTGACAAGAAAATTGAGACTTGTGAAGGAAACCAGAAGCGTTCATAAATGAGTACAAGTATCGTTTGTGAAAAGTGACCATTTCTGAGCGATCCTGTCACATACACTTTGCTAGTTCGGAAGGGGACTTTGATTTAACGAGTAAAGTAGCGGAGGAGAGTTCACATTGCATGGGTAATGACTTGCGTATCTGTAATATGCAAATTTATAAGAATATTTTGTACTGTAATGTACTGTGGATCGCTGTCCACATTGGTCAGTGAAACTTACTGGAATGAAAGCTGCATCAGATAACATGATTATGTTGTAATATGCATTTTTTCTTATCTTTATTGTTTCATAGATATACAGGGTGATTCAGAACAATCTACTGTCCTTGCAATGCCATATTCTTGAGCGAGTTTTGAGGCGATTTTTCCTTTTACATTTTTGTACCGAAGCTTAGTTTTCGAGGTATAATTGAAAATAGTTTGCTACTTGCGAGTCCGATACAACGGGCAGGCAGGGACGTGCAATGTGTCATGAGACGATAGTAAACACTTGACAGTCTCATTATACGTTGTGCGTCCCTGCCTGCCTGTTGTACCGGACTCGTAAGTTGCTACCTATTTTCAATTATACCTCGAAAACTAAGCTTCGGACAAAATTTTGTAAAAGGAAAAATCGTCTTAGAATTTACTCAAGAATTTGACATTTCAAGGACAGTAGATTGTTTTGAATCACCCTGTATATCTCATTGTGCTATTGCAATTGTACTAAAATATTTATAAAAGAAAATACTTAAAACAATTATTTAAAAAACAGTTTTTACATAAATTTATTTTTAATCAAATTTTACATTACAACATATCAAAACTTTAGGTTGATTTACAAGTTTTGAATTGACTGTGCTTTCTAACTTTAACTGTTTAAGGAATTATTCG